GGCAAGGGGGGTCTCGTCACGAAATCACGAAGATAATTTTTCGATTTCACGAGTCACGAAAAACAAAATTTCATTTTCACGATTTTTAGAAACACAGAAGCGTAACAAAGTCTGAAACCATTTAACACATACTGACTTTAACATTAGAGCCGTTTAAAGGACAATGGAAATCATTGCAAGGCATGACGAGCATCGTACGATGCATGGTTCACGAAGTTTACGAAGAGGTACGAACGTATACGATAACGACGTTTACCGATGAAACGAAGAAACCTCAAGAACTAAGACAACTGCGGGAAGCAAATTTATAAATTTTCTCCCATAATATTACATTTGGGCCGAGTTTTAAACGTAAACATTCACAAGTTAGGGTAAAATATTTGTAAATTCAAGACCATAGCTAGCCTTTTAGCTCTTCACGAGTCACGGCACGCATATTAATCACGATTCACGGAATGGTATTTCTTTAAATCACGAATCACGAAACACGAATAATTGCTAATCACGAGTCACGAAAATACCCTTGCCCCCTCATTTCTTGTCGTAAATCTTCCTTTTGGATTTAAAAAAAAATGTCACTTTTGCCTCAAAGTTGCGTAATATTTCATTGTTTAGTATAAAAATTACTATGCCTGCGACCTGCGTGTAAACCGTCGTAACCCTGTTTTGCCATGCGTAATGATAAAATGTACACGCAGATTCACAATGCCTGGGCTCTTGCGGTCATTTTTGTGGGAAAATGTTAAATTTTGATGCAATTTGGACCCCGTCACTTTGCGATTGAAAAGGTTAGACAATGATCTCGACTTCAGGGTTTATCAGGTTTCGGCTACCGGTTGATGCAGCGTACGAAGAAAAAAATGAGAAAAAACAAGGACATGATTCACTCATTCACATGAGCAATCGTATAGAAATCCTTTCTTTGAAGTCTGTGTAAACCAGCAAGTGTTTGCAAGCATTGCTACAATATAAGAGCCTTTAATAGCTTTGCTCTAAACGTCGAGAAACATTCAACTATTTTACTGTATTTATACCATAAAGGCTTGGATATTTATACTTTAATTATATGAACAACGACTTTATCAATGTACAATATACATAGTTCAACACTCAACAGCGTTCTTATATTCATGTTTGGGATGTACAATTTTATAAAAGCCTTTCTCTGGTCGACATCGCTTCGAGACAGTCGACATATGGCGTTCAGCAATATATGATATTATGATTATGCAAGTAAAATGACACCAAGTGCGCTTGCGCAAACTCGTTTGAGCAAATGTCGCTCGCAATAGGCTTATGTTTTGGCATGTATTGCAGAAAGTTTTTCATTGTAAATACATTATAATAATATATATTATAATATATAATATGGACTGAAGGAATTAAATTCTTAAACATTTGATTCACGCTTGAAAACCAACATTCAACAATAATATAAAATTTGTTTAATTTAACGTATTTAAAAGTCGTCCATTTTGGCATACGACAAAGCTGAAACTCGTAGCCGCGGTCTTTTCTCCGTGAGCGGCAAATGCCCGGGGGTAATAAGCCGATATTGACAAATGCTCGGCCCCCGGGTGAACACGCAGCTGCAAATGCCCGGCCGTGGGGACAAGAAAGCGTAAAAATGCCCCCGCACTGTCCCCGGGGGGTGGTCGCAGCTGGAATTGACTGATGCATTATATGGGCTCACAAGTTCACACAAAACATTAAAGAGCGATTCAATTTGAAAGAGATAAAAACATTTCTCGATCTCAATAACTCTCCTGAAGCAGAGCCTTTGCTCGAAACTTCGAGAAAAATTTTAAATCTTCTAGATTGAATACCTGTCGCGCACTTCACAAAGCGTGTTGTTCTACGCTGATTCACTGAATCCCCTATGTTTGAGGTGTTTACATGGACCATTGCGCCTTCTAGCATGTTTTGCAATGGCCAAACATATTGCGATAATTCGATCTTAAAGTGCCCCTGACACAAAATTTTTTTTTCAGTCTATTGAAAGTACTCATTTCGTATAGTGCTCTAGCGAAAGAATTTTTCGATTTCATCAAAACGAAAAAATTTTAGAGCCGTTTGAACACAAAAAATTTGGGCTTTTGGTTGGCAGGCGTCCGTGTTCGAAGGAAACTGGAACGAGCGATTTTTGTTACGTCACGCAAGTGAGTCGGCGTATATTCTTTCATTCGACTATACTAGTACTATGAACTCTCGGCGGATATATAAGTAGATTTGTGATCGAAAAAGATATGCCTTTTTACTGTGTTGCAGCTAACTGTACCAATAAAGTATGTTTAAAAGATGGAATAAGTCTACACAATATTCCATACTTCAATGACGAACACGCGGAAGCTAAAAAAAGAACTAGTATGGGTTGATTTTGTATGCGCAAAGGGTTTGTTTGTGCCGTCAAAGACTTCGACTATATGCTCGGATCATTGTAGAACAGAGGATTACGAGAGGCATTTCTTTTCGTTGCCGGGGCTCGGCAAGCCTAACTATCAGAAGCTAATAAAGGCTGACGATGATTTGCTTTGTTTTGATGATTCAATTTGCAATTGTATTTCGGTTTTGCGGGCCAGCTAAAAATATAAATATTTTGTAATACCGAAGTAAAAGATGCAAATCTGAAGACACAAGCTTGAAAATATGACTCTAGATAGTGTTTTGGATTCCGGTTCGAATAAGACTATTGCGAAAAAGATATGTCCAAAGGGGCCGAAGTTATGGTCGGCTAAAGGTATGGCTACTTTACATTGTTCGAGACTAATTGAGTAATATAATGAATTATGACACCGCTTGACCTCTCAAAGGTCATAAATAGCTATTTGACCACAATTTGACTAAAACTATATTTGACTAAAACTATCATTGGAAATAAGGAGATTTTGTTTCAGTCAATCGAATGGTAGTAATTTTGTCTTTATAGCATGCACCGAACCGGAGATATGAACCTTGCAAAGTCATAGAACGTCTACGTTAGTAAGAAGCTTATTAAAGATGCGCCAAATCTGAGACATGGCGCGACTAAAAAACAATCGCTAACTGATAAATGGGAGACTAGTTTTACTTTGTGTTTCTCGTATCCCTGACTTTGTTTACCAACAACAGTTTTTATCCGTGAAGTGAAACTGTGATAATAGCGGCAGTTTTTCGTCACGTCCGCGTCGAAGATTTGGTATATTAATGATACCACTAGATCTAGAGACCTGACGAGATGCAGCTACAGATTAGCACTTCCAATACATCATATTAACCAGGTATAAAATTCGCTCCAGAATCATCGGACTGATTCTGTTGATTCTGTTGACATAATACTTTATAGAACTTAGTAATAGAATATAAAAAGTTAAACACTTCAGCGAACAAAACATTCGAGCTGATTAAAACAGATAACTTTTAATAACAGACCATCAAGACTCGACTCCCTTGCGTGACGTCAGAATAAATGCTAGTGCCAGACTTCTGTCGCCGACGGCCATTAGCCAAAAATATTTGGATTCAAACGGCTCTAAAATTTTTTCGTTTTGATGAAATCGAAAAATTCTTTCGCTAGAACACTATACTAAATGAGTACTTTCAATAGACTGAAAAAAAATTTTTGTGTCAGGGGCACTTTAAACACCGGGTTTCCTCCTGGGAGAATGCTATTCTGTTTAGGCGTATGTGTAGGAGTTTGCGGTCTTTTGTCTATGTTTGTTTAAGTTCCACTCCTTCGTTATCAAGCACAATAATCGGTTCGTCGCTCAGTCTACTTTGAGAATGGACTATATCGCTGTCTATCTGAGTCAATACGGATTTAGTTTTATTCAAGCAATTGTTGTGTGGGTCGACATTTGCATCCTTTTGTTTAGAGCAATACTCATAGGGCTGATGAGAATGTTGATATAAAATTTTCAGAGTAGTTGTAATTAAGGCTAGCTTTTTTCATTCTCAAGATCCTTTACTTTATAATTCAAATTAGATAAAGCATATTTAGCTATGTGAAGACTATCTTTCAAAGCATTGCTTTCTTCCTTAAGTTTCGTATTTTCTTGCCGTAACTATTTACGCATTCAAGCCCATTATTTAAACAGAATTTTATCCATAAATTTAGACTCAAAATACTTCTCAATTTTATTACGAAAGTCAACGAACTGTGGAATCGCATCAAAAATTTGTATATCGGCCACTCCCACAAACGTCTACGACCGCACCTTCATAGTTTTGCATGTTTACAATTCTAATTTTGAACAGAACTAAATTTGGCTGTTTAAAATTAGAATTGTAAACATGCAAAACTATGTAGGCGCGATCGTAGACGTTTGTGGGAGTGGTTGATATATGAATTTTTGATGCGATTCCACAGTTCGGTGACTTTCGTAATATCAATTCTATCAGTCGTATTAGTAGGCATGGGTGCAGTTTGATCAATGGCTTCGCTCATACCTGCAACTTGTTCACCCAGACTAGTATATGATTTTATTGTAAACTCCATGGAAATATCCAAGGGTTTTCTCAGCTAACTATCAATCAACTTGCACCAATCTGCAACTTGCAATTTAGGTCGTTCATTCTGAAACTGGTTTTGAATACGAAAACAGTTGTTATTAAGGTGCTGATTGCTCACGTGTAAAATAATCTTTACCTTTCCCTTTGCCATATAAGGAAGAGTAATTATGCATGTATTCCAAGTATTTCCTAGTTTTTTCTTTGAAATCGAAACAAGTGGTTTCTTACTTTGTCAGTGTCATAAGGCGAGCAACATCACGCAGCGAACATGTCTTTGTTGTTCTTTCTCCTTGCTTGTGTTTCCTTAAGATATTCCAACGCCTGGCTTGGTGGCAATGATTGTAAGGATCAGAGCGACTGCGTCTCTTGCACTAACCACAAAACTTGGTCCGGGGAAAATTGTCGCTGGTGCCCACAAG